TGACTTTCTGTAGGTCACAAAAGGACTTCGTAGAGAGTGGACGTCACACAGTTGACTTTCTCCTGGTGTTTGTGTGTGTTTTATATTTTTACAAAACATGAAAAAGCCTTTAAAATGGTCTGGCTTTGTACCAGCAACTCAGTGACAAATGGCTTCGTCGTATGGTTATGACACGTTATAGTAAATTCTATGTATCCAAATATGTACATTAAATGACCGCCAAAAGGTAAAGAGTAGAACCTCGCAGCATGTAACGACGGCGGGTTTGGATGGAGAAAAGCCTAAACCTTTCCAACCGGTTACATACATATGTAAGACTCTCTTTAATTTTTTTCTTCTCGCTCCGCCGTCGAATTACTCGGACTAGTCTTTAAGGAGGGACCTCTATTTCAATTTAAGACGACATATTTTGCGGTAGACAAAGATTTGTGGTAGTTTCTAATCAGAGTACTTTGTCCTACCTGTCGATTTACGAAAAAGAGAGAGTCCAAATGGTGTTCCACTCAAAGGAAAAAAATAAAGGCGAAAAATTGTGTACACGAGAGGTCATTCCAAATCGAGGACTCACAGACGCTCGGAAGCGATTGACATTTGTTTCTTCCTGCTTATGGTTTTGTGCAGTCCGTGATGACAACAGACTATCGTTGAGAAGACACCCAGCGGTAAGGCTTTACGTTCAGTAGTAGCGGTGTCGTTTAGACATAGGCCGAGCAACAAGTGGTGCGGCAAAATTTTTCTACACCCTTTCTCTCTCCCAAAATAAAAGTACTGCGACGCACTCGAAGGGGCTGCGTGGCTCTTGTGTATCATCTTTACATATGTTCTCGTAGTCTTTCACGTAAAACGTACTCAAATTTCGTTTTCGAGGCTCTGATATTAACGGGGAAACCCTGCAGGACTCAAATGCCTCGTCTCTGTTCCCTTAAACTAATTTGGGAGTGATTACCCATCAGCCCCGGGGGTAACGCTGCCCTTCCTCTGCACGTTGTTTCACTTTCAGAAACACAGAGGACTGTTTGTATGATGGGATCACAGACACGCTGCAAACGGTTTCTGCTAACAGTTGAGTCCAGTGTCTATGGAGCGCCAAGGGGTATTTTTATTTTTTATAATTTGGGAAGATTGAAAATCGGTAGGGAAAGTCAGCTAAGTCGGTAGGCGGTAGAAACATGTCAGAAGCGGTAGACTACGGCTCAAATCGGTAGGGTTGGCAGGTATGGTAATAAGATATACCTTTATTGAGGAGGCAGAGGAGCAGGACTAGGAGCAGGTTTATTCCCACTTTCATTTCTAAAGTAATATTTCTTTATATATTTATTTTCTGCCTTACCTGTCTGTTCTTCGCCCCGTCCAGGATCTTCTTCTCCTCCTTCAGGTTTTTGGAGATGATCATGGCCATGTGGATGGGGTCTTCCTGGAAGCGATCCTGCAGAGACATGGTGGGAGTTATCATCAGCAGAAATAATAAATAACAACCATCACACTCCACAGAGCTGAACGTCGTGGTACCTGCAGGTTCCTCTTGATCTTGCGGATGTTGTGCTGCAGCAGGAAGTTGTTTTCTAAAGCGAAGCGGCTGTGTTGGTCGTCCAGCTGAGCGAGGAGGTCGTGGAAACGCACGGTGGCCAAAGAGTCCTGATCCGCCACCGTGTCCCTGAGCAGGCAGAGGAGAAATCACTACGTCTTTCAAATGTATGGTTCAGAAGATATAACATTGAAATGACACGGAACAAAGAAAGGGGCAAAGTGCAGGAGCTGGAACAAGATAAGGTTTTGCACTTTGCTTAAAAAATTACTTTATGTATTAATTCACTTTTAAATTAATTACAGCTTCTTCTGCTTTATCCTATTCTTATAAAAGCTTGAATCAGTATCGCTATCCTTTTTAAATGTATTTTTTTATACAGTGTTGGGGAAATATTTTCCAAAGCCCATAACTTTGACCCAGTGTATCAGTTCTGTCCTGACTGAGCTCACACACCTGTGACCTGGCTGCTGTGCTCTCAGTGCTCTGTCTCCCTGCTCCTGCCTGTTGGCGTCAGCTCATAGAGGTGTTATCATTCTATCTTGTTATGCAGCATGTTGATGATTCTCTCTGAACTAGCTGAACACACGGGTCTGGGGTAGAGTTCTTCAGAATTGATGTGGCAACTCTACCGTGAAGTCAGAACCTCTGACTCTCTGACTTGTCTTGTGAATCCGAAGCTCCAAATAAACCCATCAGTGTTTCCTTTGAGTTGGAGACTCGTCCTGCATTGCTACACAGAAGTTTCCCCCACACACATCTACATGAATACTAATTAATTGCAGAGAGCTCATTTAAGAAAGGGAACATCAAACCAGTTAAGAGTTTAAACACTCAATTGATTAAAAATCTGGAACTGTTTTGATAATAATTCAATTAAAAATCAACCCCATTATTGATTCTTCCACCTTAGGACTGTTTGATAACGAGCATTCTCTTTCCTATTTTCTAACATTATATAGAAGATCAATTCAACAGAAAAGGGATTGATTAATAAGTAATAAAACTTAGTTATTACACACTTTGATGAACCTTTGTTGTAACATGGCTGCAACTAACTACCTATTTGCATTACTGATTAATTATGAATGGACGGTTTTTTAAAAACAACATGTGGATATTGTGTTGATGAATAGCCCGACATCCCAATCTGTCCGTGTTACTATGATGTCATATGTTGTGCTCTTTCTTTGTGTCTTCGTACCAGTCGATGCTCTCGATCCACCTGCTCAGGTACTGTCGGATGTCCATGGGGAAGGAGTCGTCGTACAGCTGGTCCACCTGCTCCAGGTACTTACAGTCCAACATCTGGAGCTGGCCCCACTGCGCCATCTTCTGGGGAACGAGAGGAAGAAGATGGATGAGGATTCAGGCATTTCACTTCTAGATAAGTTCGACACCTGCTGCACTGCGGACAGATTACAGTGAGCAACACGTCTTAAATACATCGTTTTTAGATCATTCTGAACTGCATTTTTGGCTGATGTGCATATGTGCTGTCACAAACATATGTACGTGTTGTTAGTCAACATACAGCCTATACAAATGTACATTTAATGTTGAAAATATAATTTATAAATGCAATTTCTTATTCAAATGTTGATGCTGTTGCAGCTGCTAACACATCTGTATTTTAAGTTGTATATTTGGTCTTTTTTTTGCCTCCGCAGCTTCTACAAAGTGTCATACAATCCTTTATGATGTATACATGACTTACTTATAATGCAATAATCTAATTGCCACCCTCATTGTGGTTAGAGGGCAAAGGAGATCTGGAGCTTATTATACATTCACTTTCACCTACAATGAATTCCGTCAAAAGACTCCTTAGAAATAAAAAATAATGTATATCCTGACAAACTACTTCATAAAACGTGTTTTGTTAAAGTGTATTTTATGTTGTGATTTGAGTTCATATCGATAAAGGAGCTTTAGCAGACTCAACATTATTATCATATATTTTATAATAAGCTGCAAAAGGTGACATGTGTCCATAGGTTTCGTTTTCTCATCCCACTTCCTTCAGTCAATAACATCCCACAATATTATATTACTATATTTGTACTGTGTTTTAAATATATATATATATAAAATTGCATATTTCTGACTCACCAGGTTTGCAGTAAATTAAGTTAACTTCAATTAATTAATTAGGACTTGTAGTACTCAGTTTTTTAGCGCAGTTTGGCTTCACGTTAGCTAAACATACCATACAAAAACAGACAGCAGATTTGGGAGACATGTTGTCACTGCGTAAGGAAGTAATTGAGCAAACTTACCTTTTAATTTGAGTAAACGCGTACAATATCTCACCGAAATATAACTTTGGCTGTCCCAAAACTGTGTTGACAGCTTCTGCGTTTTCCTGCTAGTTATGTTCAGGAAACAGAATCAGCCAATCACCTGCGATATCTGAGATCTGTGCCCGCCCCTTTGCTTCTGTCAGCCAATCAGAGCGAGGCTAACGCGGCTGTTCTGTCAGTTAGCACGTTCACCCATAAAAACAATACAAAGAGTATTTTTTAAAACATATTTTTAGAGGTATCAGCCGAAAATCAACAATTCATATGTGTATATTTTGTTTTCATACACTGTAAGGGTAACAACCCTAGATGTTGAATCATATGTATGTGATTAAAAGATAAATACTGTAGCTTCCGGGGGGAGGCAGACCATTATCAGAAGAGCTTCCACTGACCACGTGTTTTCAGAGAAAGAGAAAAACAGAAACACCGACAACTATGAAACTGAAACTTAACTTTTGAGAAAAAAAATTAGCTTGCACATTCAGTCATGTTATCCAAAATAAGAACAATTAACAATTGTTCCAACATGTGTCAAGTCAAAATATAACTTTATTTATCAATACAGTATTTTTTTGGGGGGAAAGGGAGCAGAAATAAACACTTTTTTATGTGTCTCATTTGGCCCCAGAAACAACAATGACAACATCTGAAATACAAATTACGTAAATGTTAACAAAACATATAAACATACATAGAAATGTACAAATGCATCCAAGCCTGTTATATGGTCACCAAAACCTAATGTTGCAGCCAATTTGATGTATTTTAATATTTGTATATGAAGGTGCTGTGATACTACTGAATTGACCTGGGCATAGGCGGGGACTCAGCCAATTTCAGGGTACAGCCTACTATTTGGGGAGGACACAGGTGCACAGCATGAGGGATTGGGAATCACCAGAGGGAAGCCGCACAGTTTTTCAACCGTGCGTGCTTTCGCTTATTTTCTGTTTGTTTTGAATTAATTTCGTTAGTTTATTTCTTTATCACAGTTAGTTGTTTAGTTATCAGTTAAACACCCGGCTCTTGTTTTGCTGTCATCATCCTGCAATCCAAATAAACATCTTAAATGCACTCAAAGAGAAGACCTGATTTGTTGTCAACACCACACGTCTAGAAAAGCTTCACACCATATCCCTCAATGGCAAGTATTTGTTGTTCGGTTGTCTTTACACCAAATAATAAAAAAGTATTGTGTTAATTCCTCCACTGTTTCAACATTTAAGGTACATTTATGATCATGCATAAAGCACACAGGTCATAAAGGTCATGTTCTTTCTCAATTTGGAAACAATTAATAATGGCACCACTTGGCAACAGATATAAATAACATTTTTACAGCAATATTTATTGGAAGAATATTACAAAAAACAGGTCTACAGTTTCTCAGTATTATTTTGTGAGAAAATCATCTTTCATAAACCTAAAACAATCTTGAAATAAATCTGCAATCACAGTGAACAATGTGAATCCTACAGTAGGTCGTTATCTTTGTTTATGAGACTCATAAGTGTAATCATTCTGGGTTTTTTCAATGCATATCTTCTAGTCCAGGGGTGTCAAACTCAAGGCCCGGGGGCCAAATCCGGCCCGCGACTTCATTTTATGTGGCCCCATAAGAGCTTGCAAAGAATATAATATATTTTTTATACGGTTACATGGCGAAGCACGTTGCCCATAAACTACATGTCCCACAATGCATCTAAAATTTGACTATTTTCTCAGAATTTGACTTTTTTGCTTCAAAATATGCTTTTTTTTCAAATATGCTTTTTTTCTCAGAATTTGTTTTTTTTTTCAAAATATGCCTTTTTTCTTAAAATGTGCCTTTTTTAAGCAAAATGTGATGTTTCAAAACGTTACTTTTTTTCCAAAATGTTAAGTTTTGCCCCAACATTTCACTTTTTTTTGTTTTTCTAGAATGTGGCTTTTCTTTTAAAATCATTTTGTGACATTCTCACTGAAGAGACTTGCAATTATTTGCCCTAGACTTCTGCTTTCAGATGTAGTTAATGATAAAGTTATTACCCTATCCCATAATAATCCAATGCAGAGGCAATATTGTAATATAACACATTATTTTATATATATTAAATATTTGTATATGTATTTTTATATAGTCTTAAAGTTACAACTGGCCCTTTGAGTGTAACCGTAATGCTGATGTGGCCCGTGATGAAATTGAGTTTGACCCCCCTGTTCTAGTCCAAATCAGGCCCTTGGTGGATTTAATTTCAGCCCGCAGGATAATGTTGAATTACTATTATCTGGCCCGCCGGTATATTGCACGCACACCCTCCTCAGCTCAGAGCCTGAGCCCAAACATTGATGAACTTGCCCCCGAGATGAGATGCCAAGTATCTGAACTAGCATCACAGAGCAGCAAGCTGAGTTTCAATGGATTTTTCCTTCTGCACTTTCTTTCTTGAGACAACAGGGCATGTTTGGTTTGTTCTTTGAGGGAAATAGTTTTTTTGAAGCTGTTGAAAAATGTAATCATAAGAAATGACTCTGGAAAAGCTGCAGATAGAGCCATAAGAAATGAATGCAGCTGATTATTTAATGTTTAATGTTGTTTTTATAGGCAATCATTTAAGCTTTGTTAGTTCCAGGTTTAATATGTTC